AGAGGGAAGAGAGATCAAGGAATCTCACACTATGGAGTCATATAGAAGATGTTTTTAACAAACCTGAAATCTTCCTTATAATCAAAAAGCCATTTTATAAGATTTGTCTTATATATTCAGAAAGCTGGATAGTGGGGCACAAAGACATTTAAACCAACTCTGTGCCCCTGAGAGTCTCACTGTTTTGTTGGGGCCACAGGAAATGTATAGCAAAGACACTAAAGGACAACAGAAGGAACCGTCTGCAGAGCCTGGTCAGGGGTACTTCTGTTCTAAGTCTCACGGGTTCCAAGGTTCATGGGTAAATCTGAGAGGGAGAGAACCAAGTGAGCAACCTCTGTGGTTCCATCGCTCCCACTCCACCTTCCTGACGCTCTCCCTCCAAAGCCGACCAAACCGAGAAGCAGCAGGTCCTCGTCCACTGTCCTGTATACCCCCCGGAGCCTCAGGCAGGTCAAAACCAAACCACCCACTGCTCTTGTCTCCTGCCCCAGATTCTGTAGTCAAGTCAGACTTTTGCCCAGTTCAAGCCGAGAATCGTTCTGTATCAGCCAGCTCCCTGCCAGTCAGCTGACTAATGATTTTCTACCTTCATTTTAAAACAGCCTAGAAAAGTCTTGAGTTTGTGGAGAGTCCCTCTGAGTCATGACTCAGAAAAACATCTATATGTCATCTGATTTGATTGTATAAAGCCCTTCAGCTTTTAGACCAGAGGATCTGCCTCCCTATTCTTAAATGAAGTGAATGTGGCTCGCCTTCTAGTTCCAGCTGCATCACTTAGGGACAGTGGGTGTTTGACACGTCGTTTCACTTCTCTGAACCTTAGTCGTCTTCTCTGTAAAGGGGGGGAGTGTAAAAACAGCACACACACACAGGCACACACTCAACCAGCCCCCTCCCTCCCCCACCCCCCGCCACAGGGTTATTCTGAGAATTAAATGAGATCACATATGTGCTGGTGTTCTGCACCATGCAAATGTAAGTTCTCTTTGTTATCAGATTTCAGCTTTGATGAGTCATTTCAGGCATCAGTTCTTGATGTAGGTGTCCCACATTTAACCCCTTCACCAACTATTTCTCCTTCCTTTTCTTTTCTTGTCTGGAGAAATTATAAAGTTGGTCCTATGCGTACTCCTGATTGGGCCTACTCCTAAACCTTACCTGACTTCTTTCTGCCTCCATTCTCCCTTCCCATGTGGCTCCTTACCAGCTCCTAGCCCCTCTCTCTGTCAGTAATTATTCAGGAAGGTTTCTCTCAGCCCACACTATTACCATGCACACCTGCATATTTAATGTTTGATCTAATTGCTGTCATATGTAGAAACCCAAATAATGATGCCGAAGAGTCAAGGGCCTTGTGTTCCAGAGTTACCACTGTTTTTTATTATGTAGGGAGCTTTGGGCCATTCAGTTTGAGAAACTTCTATTCAGATCAAGGTTAGGGGTGGGGTGAAGAGGTTGCCTACTCTTTAGTGCAAAAACTAAAAATTTTGTAGGTCACAGAGAAAAGTAAACCTCCAACTATGAATGATGTGCTCTACAGGGGCACACGTACGAAATAACATGGGTACACAGAAGAAACAATTTAATCAGCCTTTGAAGGTTGTAGAAACACCACTTCAAAGAGGAGGTAATATCTGAGCTAGGCCTTGAAGGATGATTAAGATTTTACAAGGTCAGTAGGGAGGTCAGGTAGAAGGAAGAACAGTAAGACATGAACGAAACAGCGTGATAAGGAAATGGGAAGAGTTTGGCATGGCCAGAGCATAGGATGCATGGCAGAGAGGGCAGGAGCTGAGGCCAGAGGAAGGTTGGGCTGAGGTTGTGTGGGACCTGGAATGCCAGACTTAGACTTTTGGACTTTTTTCTCTGCAGCCTCTCTCAACTAGGGTTCCACAAGGAAACTAACCCTCTTGACTTAAGGTATCTAGTCTACAAATCAATCTATCCCCTGTATGCCTAGAATGATACTATGTACTATCCTGGAGAGAACTGAGAAAAGAATCACTCAAATAATTTTCTGTAGGGCTCCATTCTCCCCATTGAGTAAGGCTGCTAGACAATGGTAAGCCATCCAGCATTTGTAGAAAGTCAGTGACATCTTCATGTATCATAGAAACATCGCTCTGGTGCCAGTGAGAACAATGCTTTAATACAAGCAGAGGATAAGGGATGAACCAAAACTCTTGCAATAAAATTCAGTTGGGTGATGACCAGGGCTCAGAATGGTGACAGTAGAAATGGAGGCAAGGGACATTCCAGAGACATTTGGGAGGCAGAATGGACAGAATGCTTCAATGCTATCTCCCCTAGTTCCCTGGCAACATCTGAAATCACTTCCTCCCTCCAATGCAAGCTAGAGTCTTCCTGAAAAGGGTGAGAAGTGCCCCGGGCATAACTCACTGCGGGGGTGGGGGCTGCTGGCACTAATCTGGACTTTATCCTGCTCCTGGTGAACTCTGCACACCCTGTCAGCTTCTCCGTTATGACTTTTTTCCTCCTGGGCACGTTGGTCTGCTCCTCACAACTAACCTTTAGCCTAATCCTCCCCAGCCCCATTTTTCCCCTGCCGGGACAGAAGCCCTGCACTGAACTCCAGACTGCTTGGCTGGGATCCTGACACTCTGCTTCCTTCTCCCAGTGCACTCTTCCAGGGGCTGGGCCTGCTCCCCGGGCGCACTCCGGTCCCAGTAATCCCGCAGCGGAGTTAGTGTTGCCCGCCTCAGTGCTCCTTGATCCCCGTTTCCTCCTGCTGCCCGACAGGTCCCCTCATGCCTCACGTTTCAACCTCTCTGAGTTCAGACATCTCCATATCTCGTCTGGGGCCCGTTCTCTCATCTGTACCATGAGGGGGTTATACTAGGTGACTTCTTAGGTAGTTCCCTTCCAACACTAATATCCTGTGTTTCTAAGTAGGCCAACTGTAAAAGAAGTCTGCATTGGCACAGAACAATTGAGGCCGGGAGCGAGTGAGTCAGACTCAGCAAAAACGTCAAGCTAGCTGTGAAGCCAGGACATTAGAGTGCAGCACGCCACTGGGCAGACAGAGCTAGAGAGTCCAGCCACATATTAGCCTGCCCAGACAGCTATGTGAACAAGACGACTGATGCCACACCCAGCTTATTAGTCACATTCGTGTTCAAGGAATTAACAGCATCATCTCGAGTCCCTCCCGCCCCCTCCACTGCCGTAGGACAACATGCATTTATGACCAAAAGCTATTTAGTACATGATTGTCATTCAGCCTCTTCTCATGGATAGTGCTGGGGCCTTCAGATTCAATATCATCCCACTAGTATTTTGTCCATTTCCTTGGAATAACCATCCAGTGAGTATCCCCTGCACATCTAACTTTACTCTCAAGACTACCTAAGTTCCTCTCAGATGCTTCTCAGGGTGTGTGGAAGAAAGAATGCAGGTCTTTAGAGACCTAGGTTTGAATCCCACAGCTACTTACCAGTCATGTGATTCTGGAAAGGTTAATCCTCTGAGCTTTGGAAATAGGATAATAATACTTGCCCTGCAAAATTGTAGCCCAGATTGAAAGTGCCTGGTACCTGGAGGTTCTCAGTAAAGGAATTCTCTGTCACACCAACCCCTGAAGTCTCTTTGCCCTCTCGATTGCCTGGATTTTTGCTCTCTCTCCTATTGGAGCCTACAAGGTCCCTGCTGGTCCACACAGGTTGCTGCTCCAATCCAGACCTGCAGCATGCCGAGTCAGCACTAACACTTCCCGGAGTGGGCTCCCCCCGCACCCACCCTCCCCCCCAGCCCCTAGTCAGGGCTGAGCAATCACAGGCCAAGAAAAACCTTGGTCAAAAGATGAGATCATAGTTGAAGGCTCTAAAAGCTCCATTGTCTCAGCCTCAGGGCCCATTACATTGAAGACGTAAACACCAGTGCTGGGATTCAGTGCAGGGCTGAAGTGGTGAGGAGGCAAAGGGAGGATGTCTCCAAGCTGCTTAGCACAGGAGTCAGCTGCAGGACACACATCTTTGGCTGGCTAGGGGCTAGCATTCTTGGTTCTTCTTTCAAGGGAATACAGTATCAGAGACCAGTATAGACATGGGGTGTATGAGCCTCAGAAATCATTTAGATCTACCTTCTTTTACACCGATAGAGAAACTGAGACCCAGAGGAGGGAGAGAAAGGGCCAGAACTCTAGATTCTGTGTCTGTAACTGTGAAAAAATTGTGATTGTTAAAATTCAACGGGAGGGTATAGCTCAGTGGTACAGTGCTTGCTTGGCATGCAAGTACCTACATTCAGAAATAATTAAGCAAACAAACTTAATTACTACCCCCCCAAAAAAAGTTCAAAAAAAGAGAAAAATATTAAAATAAAATTCAGCACATTGCGGACACTCAGTAGATTTGATTGTTGAATAGCAAGTATAGGGAATGTTTGCTGATGGGATTTCTAAGCAGGAGAACATTTACTAATATTTTTTGAGTCTCGGAAGGTAAGAAGGGGCCAGACTGTGAAGAGTATTAAGTGCCCTGCTTGAGAGTATGAATTCTGTTTTGCAGGCAACATGAAGCTATCAAAGAGTGCAAGGTAAAGGATTGACATGATCAGTTTTAGAGAGATGATTCTGGTAGCAGAGGTAAGGACGGATTGGACGGTGTCAGGTCTGATGCATGAGGTAGAGGGGACTTTTAGAGTAGTCCTGGCAAGAGATGCTGAATGGAGGTCTGAAGGAGGGCAGAGGCAGGAGGACAGAGAGGAAGCAGGAGAGCCAAAGGCTACGTCATAAATGCAGTCAGTGGGGCCTGTGGTCAGCAGGAGACAGGTGGGGCTAGGAGGGGTGGCAGGCTGGGCCCTACGCAGCTGAAGCACAACTTCTCAAGACCCTAGGCTCCTGCCCAGGGTCCCAGGCTTCATTCATGACAGGACAGCTATTTGATGGACATGGCACTAGGCAGGCCACAGGCTCCTAAAAGTCACTAGTAGCCACAGAAATCCTGACTGTGTAATAAACCAAGGGTGTCCGTTTCCCCAGCAAAGTGCAGCAGAGGTGGCTGGTTGTGACACTCAGACAGACAGTCCTGCTAGCAGTGTTTTCTACCTAGAGGCTTTCAGTTAAGGGTAAAAATTCTTAAAGATTAAGCCTTCTAGTTTCTGTATCTTGTCTGGATAACTAACATTTCCTGGTAAAAAGGTAATTTCCATCCACTACCAGCTATGGAGGTCACATGTTGGGATAGTTAGTAATACAGAATTTGGTGTCAGGCGGTCCTGGGTTTGAGTCCTGACTGGTGCTCGCTAGCTGTGTAACTCTGAGCGAGTTACTAAATCTCTTTAAGTCAACTCAACCATGAAATGGGGGTAGTAGTAGTTTCGTGAGGGTTGCTGTCCTAATAACAATGAGTTAAAGCCTTTTAAGTGCTCAGAACAAGTGCTCAAGCAGGGTCAGCTATTGTTAGTTTCAACAGCTCTACTGAGTTATTTTGCAGCATGGTATAGTCAAAATGGGTCACTTTCCTAAGCATAAAACATTTTGTGCTCAACATTTTTAAAGCCTCCTATTTGAATATTACGTTTTGGCCAAATTTTAAAGATTCATGGATGAATGGTGGGAACAGAGAACACTGTATACATCTATGTGCAGATTTTATAAATGTACAATAGAAACATTTATTCTATTTTCCAAAAACTTTGTGTTCAAAAAGTGATTTGGCTATTGATTTGCTGGATGACTTCAAGTAAGTCCATTTAACCTTTTTCAGCTTGCTTTGTTTCCTCTGCAAAATAAATGGGCATGATTTCTGAAGGGCTTACCGACTCTAAAATAAATATATGAATTTATTTTACACTCTAATTCCATACTACTTCCCTGGCTATAATAGTAAGTCAGACCCCAATTATTTCTAAAAAAGCTCTAGAATCCCCCATGATTATCAAGGATTATTGCCAAGAATCTGATTACCATCTAATATTTGATGTGTGCTCTTATTTATCTAATGGTTTGACAGTGTATAGCTGACTTGGAACATCTGGATTGGATATTCATAGCTGATAAACATAAAACTAGAACCAGAGCCTGAGTCCCTTTGCTTGCTGGTCCTTGGGGAAAAGTGAGTTTTGTTTTTTTTTTAACTTTCTCATCTGTTCATGTGTATTGTCGAAGTGTCTCTCTGAGAGTGGCTTTTGGTGATGAGTTAATCAGTCTGGTAAAGTACTGGGAGTGGGTTAGTAAAGATCATCTTTTTGAGCAAATCTTTCAGGTCTAGCTCCAGCTTACCCCGCAGTCCTTTCCCCACTACTTTGTTTTCACACATTCTAATACAACCAAGCTGGCCTTGGCTGTTTCCTTAGATCCTGTGTGTTTGCCACTCAATGTTTTATTAATGCTGCTCTCAACCTGGAAAACACTTCTCTCCTTTTCTCCATATTCTTCCTCCCCTCTCACTGCCAACATTTATATGTCCAAACCTCCCCCATCCTTCAAGGCTCAGGGCAAACGTCACCTCTCCCACAATGTGGCTTATCTTTCTCCTTGGGTGCAGTGACTACCTCTTTCAGCTGAGCTCCCAGAACACTTCTGGAATGTACCTCTCAGGTGGTCCCTGGCAGGCAGAGTCGTCCAGTGGTTGGGCACACGAGATCTGCAGGCACACCTCTTGAGTACAATTCCTTACTGGCCCCTTCGCTGTGATCTTGGGCAAGTTATAAACTTCTCCATGCCTTGGTTTTCTCATCTGTATAATGGAGCTAATGGTAGTACCTACGTCATAAGGTTTTTGTTAAGTTTAAATCAGCCTGTGGATGTAAAGCATTTAGAATCGTGACTTACGCATAGTGAGTGTTTAATAAATACTAGTTACTGTTACTTCTCTCCTTCTCCCTTACTTCACAGATATAATATTCCTGTCTTACGTTTCCTCCTAGATGCTACACTCGTTGAGAAGAGGAGGATTTGGTAGCTCCTTTTGTGCCTTGAACTTAGCACAGAGAACCAGTTATCTGAGAGGTTTTGGAAAACTTAGGCCCAAGTCCTTCTTCCCTTTTCATCCCTAAGATTTACAAGAAGACTTTAACCAAGCAATTCCATGAATCTAAGAAGCTTACTGTAATTAAATGTCAAACTGGACATTAGACTAAACAGTCTACTGTCAGTTGCATGCTAATGCCTATGGTAAGGACAGGGCTTTTTAAAGAACATTACGTGTGGTGAACAGCTATTTGACCCAGGGATCCCCAGCTCCTAGTCCTGGCCCCTTTCCACTGCTCCAAGCAGCCAGATTCTACTACTTTTGCTTCCCATGGCTGTGGGTCAGCCTGACTCCAGCTGGCCATGCCCAACGATGACCACCGGAGAGTGCAGTTCACTCTGCAGGGAGCAGCCTCGCCCATGATCAATGGGCAAATTGATTCACAAATACATACTGAAGGAAACATGGTGTAGTATTCCTGCAGGACACAGTTCGGTCGTAGTCAAGATTTCAGGTCAAATTCAGATCTATTTCTGAGATATTTTCCACAGATATTTCTCACAGCTTTGCATTGACACTTCTAGGTCTGTGTTCATGGATTTGTGCCAAACAGCAGTTTGCCCAACACTGTGATTCATTTATTTGTTTCCTATACACTGTTTGACTTTTCTCATATTTGGCTTTGGCTGAGGACGCTCAGCATATGCTTTACATGGGTAGTCAGTCCAACTTTTTAATATTTTTGGATCTTAATATCAAAAAAAAAAATTCAGACCAAAGGCCAGGATTTTTCTAATAATAAACCAGGGACTACTCATTTTCTTTTTAGTGAGTATTAGCTTCAATTTAGTTCTCTTCTGTGAAACTTCACAGCATTAATGTTAAAACATAATTCAGGTCAAGTATAATATCAGCTCCTGGGGTGTCATTAATAGTTCCTCGTTCATGAATAAGAGCTCTACAAAGTAGCACAGGCCCGCGGAAACAGGCCTGGAGAAATTAGGCCAGACAGGGCTCAGAGAAATTAAGGGATAAGACACTGCCTCTTCCCTGCTCTCAGGAGTAGCATTTCTTCTCTCACGACTCACCTTAGACACAGATGAAGTAGGTATTGGCCTGTCACATAGAGGGGTGCTGGAAGTCTCAAAAGGTGGTCCTCTAACCTGCCTCTAATGCTTGGCATTCCTACCTCTAGGGTGGCATACCATTGGCAGAAGTTTGCTCAGAGGCTTGTGTCCATTCCTTTACTGATTCATTCATCAAATGTTAATTAGTGCACTACGTGCAGGAAATAGGGGAGGAAAAGTGAGTTGGGCACAAAGCTTTTAGTCTAGTGAGAAGACCAAAATAGAGAGATGGTTAAAACGCTGTGTGTTTGACAAGTGTTGTGATAGAACTTCACCATGGAGCTGCCCCAGAGGTAAGAGGTGACCCCAGAGAATGAGATGTCACAGAAACCCATGAGTGGAAGAATGATGAGGTCATGCATGTTACAGAGGGAGGACGAGTTAGGTGAAGAAACAAGATGTTCAGTACCGATACCTCTGACAGGGTAAATACTGTAAGCTGGCTAGTAGTTATCAGCAAAGTGCAATGAACGGTAGACTTGTAGTTTCACAATATAAAGCCATCTGAAAGCTGGGGAGAATTTGACCCGCAAGCTGAGACTGGAAAGGGAGGAGGGTGAGAATGCACAGAGACTGGGAACCTGGGCCCCTGACCGGCAGGGGCTGAAGTGAGCTCTTTGTTGTTGGAGGAACAAGTTGGGGCACTGAGGCTGGAGGTGGGGGTGCCTTGAGACAAGGTCAGAAAATGCCAAGCAGACTGGGCCTATTTGGTAATTTGGGTGAAAGGAGCCACTGGCTTAGTTTTGCACAGTGAGGTGCCAGATGGAAGCCATAAGTTAAATTGGAATTAATGTGGTTTATGTAGTTAAAATAGGCAGGGCATGTGTTTGGATTCAGCATTAGAAAGACTGTTGAATTCTCAAATTCTAATCATTGCACCGTAACCCCAAACAGCATGTGCTCTCCCCTCTACTTAGAGCACCTCTGTGCCTTCTTCTTTACCCATCAAATCTTGGCACAAGTGTCCCCTCCTTCCCTGATGGCTCAGACTGTTGAGTGTGCCTGCTTCAAGCTCCCACAGCAATCAGCACATCCATCTCATTGGATTAGTACTCATCACATTGGATAATCCCTGTCTGTTTACTTTTCTATCTCCCTCTCCACTAGGTTGTGAGCTGTCTGAGGACAGAGATTGCCTTCCATTACTCTAGCCCCAGGACTTAGCCAGATTAGAACATTGTAGCTGCCAGTACATATCTGTGGATGGATGGATGGTTCTATAGGTCTGTGAATGGATGCATGGATGGATGGGTGAACAGATGGATGGGTGTTTGGATGGATGGATTGAAGAAGTGGATGAATGAATGGCCCAAATCAGTAAAGATTTGTACTCTCCTTGGGAATACAGACCTTGGGGTGTGAACACTCAGAAAAATGCTAAACATATTTTAGTGCTGTGGCAAACTATGAATAAAAGTCAGGTGCCTTGGTCCAATTCAAACCAAGTTGCAATTCTGTGTGCTTTATTTTCCTGTTCACATGAGCACTGTGATTTTAAGTTAATGTTTGCTTAGCAGGCAGGTTTCAGAGATGTGCAATGAGGCACAATCTCACCAATAAAGCTTGAAGTAGGAGCCCAGAGGTCTAGCCTCTCTTCCTGATCCTCCCCACCAACTTCCTGGCTATGTAACCCAGATGAGCGGCTTATCTCCACAAGCTTCCAGTCTCCAGCCTCCAGTCCTTCCCTTTTGCTGTCTCTCCTCCACCCAGTTATATCTCTTGAAAACAAATTAATCATCTTGTAAAAACCCTTGGTTGCCTCTAGAGCAAAGTCTCAACTCCTCAGCAGGCGAGCAAGCTCTTTTCAGTATCTCTCAAGGCTGATGGTCCTTTATCACGTCCCTTATATCCAGTTACTCCACGGTTCCCATTCCCCT